AAAAAACCGGACATTTCTGTTAAGATTCGAAGTTATTAGCATTTAATTGACCAATTTTGGGTTTTTGTACTAAAAATCGTAAAAGTTCCCTTAAAAATCAAAAACGCGCTAGAAAATAAAAATGTTTGTATGAATATGTTCTACATGGGCTAGTGTATCACCCCCTTAAAGGTTTGCACCCAGTTACCAAACACCCTGTATAAGCCAGAGGAGAACTTATATACTTTGAGATAATTTTTAGAGTTTAAGCTTTTATGTCATCATATCTTTGAGATTCTTTATTTTTCCAGTCATTTATGGAATTCATTACTTCACTCTCAGAAGTTGGTGAGAAGAAGATAAAATTTAGTATTTTTATTATTAATATAGTTTTTGTCTCTATTGATTTTTTTGCCAAATCTCTTTCAACGCTTAGGAAATGGTTGTTGAATATTTCGGTCATTTCTGCTGGATTACTGATACTTTCGCCAGTTTTATTTTTGATTCCGTTTATTTTTCCATAGCCAGGGATTTTCAATACTTTGTTCACTGTTATAAAAAGGGATTTTTTTTGGGCTAACTTGAGGTCATGGATGAAAAGTTACTATTTTATTTTTATTACTGTTTTCAAATGGATACAGGCCATAAATATCTTTACTTTCTGCATAAAGAACGCCCTGTTTCCTATCTTTGACTAAGTGGACGAGTTGGAGAAGGAGATTATCACAGTTTTGCTGGGGTTGACAGACATCTGCTTCCTCAGGCATCAACTGTGAACTACGTCCATCGTGCTTTGGAGGATATTACAGGCCCTCCTTCTCGACGTGGACCTTACCAAAATGACAAGGTCATCTGCATAAGCTTGCAGGTCCAGTTTTCAGGATTTTAAACAGATAGTAATTTCAGATAAAAATTGATATATAATATTACCTACCTCAATGTGTGGTATGGATCTCACGACGTGCACTGATGTATTAGTTCTATTGTGGTCTTGATGAGATGGAGGTTGACAGTATCTGGTTAAGTAACTGGTGTTCTCAACATATTCAGCAAATTCGGCCGCTGAATAACTCGATGTACTGTTTGCTCTGAGAGCAACTGAAGCGCTTTGTTCAACCACGCCACAGAGAACAAAACCTGTTATAATGAAAACGGCTAAAAGCTGTCGAGATCCAATTTGCTCTGGAAGAGAAAAATTCAGTTATTATTTCAATGTTTCTCTTCTCAAATATCTCGAATTCGAACTATGTGTCTAGTTTGAAATAAAATCGGTAACAGAAATGAAAACATAGATGTATCGAGATAGTGTGTCATGAGGATACACTGCGTATACCTATATTGATTGAGTTATGACGATAAGAAATAATCCAGTCATTTAAGCTTAAATTAGGTAAGAATCTCGGAATTCGAGATACCCAGCTGTAAGTCTGTAAATACTTGTATTTTGACACCCTAAAAGTTGTCTCAAAACCTACATATGGTAGGGTGTAAGCAACTATTAAATTTCAAGGGCAAAGGTCACAAAAATCGTTTTTTTGCGCTTTTTTTGGAAATATCTCATTTTCTATGGGTTTTTTGTTATTTGTATTCATTATCAATATTGTAGAATACAAAATTCTCTACAAATTTTGTTTAAAAAATTTTTTTATACGGTGAACCGTTTTCGAGATAGAGGGCGGAGAGCACGCGGTCACAGCATCACTTCAGGTCAACCGGTGCCTCCGGTCGAAAACGCGCCATATATAGTTGATGAACTATCGATAAATCAATGATTATAAATATTTGCCAATTTTTATTAACTATTATATTATATTTTATCATTTTCTTCATGCATTAAATCTATATCTATTCAATAATACTGATAACCGTTTACTAAAATAAAAAAATAATTAAGAGAAAGAGATGATGCGGATGTTCTTATTGTTGAAACTGCAATTGAAGAATCGAAGTCTAAAAAAACTGCAGTTATAATAGGACAAGATATTGATTTACTTGTCATTTTAATTGGGCGTACACTGTCTTACGAACAAGAAATTTTCTTTAAAAAAGTTGGGAAAGGTAATGTAAAAACGGAGATATACTCGACTAAAATACTATATATGGCGCGTTTTCGACCGGAGGCACCGGTTGACCTGAAGTGATGCTGTGACCGCGTGCTCTCCGCCCTCTATCTCGAAAACGGTTCACCGTATAAAAAATTTTTTTAAACAAAATTTGTAGAGAATCTTGTATTCTACAATATTGATAAAAAATACAAATAGCTAAAAACCCACAGGAAATGAGATATTTCCAAAAAAAGCGCAAAAAACCGATTTTTGTGACCTTTGACCTTGAAATTTAATAGTTGCTTACACCCTACCATATGTAGGTTTTGATACAACTTTTAGGGGTGTCAATATACAAGTATTTACAGACTTACAGCTGGGTATCTCGAATTCCGAGGTGAACTTACTATAATGACTGGACTAAAAGTCTTCAATAGCTGAAATCAGGAAGTTCGTCGCAGAACTCGCTTTCCGAGTTACCTCCCTCTCCTCACTAGTGATTGTTTAGCAGCCGTGTCGCATAGGGCAACACCCGTTTCTCCTCATTACCGATAAAGTGTTGTAGGTGGTCTCAGACGCCTCGCGGCAGGCCCTGCACCTTGTGTCAGGAACCTGTATACCCACCACGCGACTGCTATAAACTGAAGTGTTGAAGACCATGCCATGACCATGCAGCCCATGATAAACCCCTCAGTTTCCGACTTCAACCCACTCGACCTGAGGAATGCATAGGTCAGGCGCTTTGATAAGCCAAGGTCTCCAATCTTATTAAAGAAGACCCCATGCATTGGCTTCTCCTTGTATTTCCGCAGGAGTGAGGTGATCTCTGCGGCTTTTATATGAGCTTTTTGCTGAACAGATTCCAACTCGGTGACAGAGTTGTGATTAACTCGTTCAGTGTCAAAAACTAAACCGAGTTCATGAGCTGCTCGTGCAGCTGCCCTACAGAGAAATCCTCCAATTCTTACTCTTTGATGGTTGCGGACCATGCAGAGATGGGGATCCGAACTTCGACGACTATATTCAGTACTATTCTGTCATGTAGACACTCCAAACTCAAAAGTTCGCGGTCTCCCTGTTGTCGGGGGGAGTACAACCGTGTAACGGACGATTTGGGATGCCAACTCCTATAGAGATGCATCATTTTTCGGGTCTTTACTAATGAAATTCATTTTTACGTCGAGTTGATACATCTCCAAACAAGCCAGTTCTTGTGGCTTCAGGGGCCTAATTCTGTGGAGCGCCCTGCATGTTCTGATTGACTCCATTGGTGACATGATGCCTCTCCAGCCGTGTCAACGGATGACAGAACTGTCATATTACCACTTCGTCAGCAGGCTGCGAAGGAGCTATATAGTCCTGCCGCCGAATAGGATACGTACCTCCTAAGATTTTGAGCTGATCGATTCTGGTGGCCCATTCCTTCACCACCAGGATCCACCGGCACCGAAGAGAGAATAAATAGTGCTGCCGGTCCAGGCTTCAGCTGTTAGTGGTCCCCCTGCTATTATTATTATCATTATTATCAATCTTTTCTCGAAGCATATTAGTAACATATTTGGATTTGTGATACTATATTGAAGTTTTCGCCTAATGAGAAGGTGCTACTGAGATTCACCTTTTCAAAAAGGGTTTTCACTATTCATTGTTGAAATCTGAAGAAGTAATTCATTTCGGTTGGAACATCGTCTTTGAAACTGTCTAGGCATGGTAGACGAATGTAGGCATGAAGGCATACAGCCCACGGCTCACAAATAGCCTTGTGGGCTGTTATCTATGATCGTGAGAATGTTCACTATATGAGTTTTTTGTTGGATAGTTCTAATCCAATACAATGAGCTACATTCACACGTTGAAAAAGTACAATTTTGCAGTAATTCAAATCAAACCTCGTGAAATCCATTCAAAAACTGATTTTTTATATTTGTATCTACTGCTAAATGTAAATTCTATTAATTATATTGTAATGTTTGTCACTTTTACTATATAACACATTGTAATTTGGGTTACATAATCGATTATTTTCGGATTGAACTCATCACATTCAGACATTACTATATAGGGTGAGTCCTTTGCCAGGAAAAAACTTTCGTAAAGATTCAGAAACAAGTTTGAATATAAAAATGACAAATTTTGATCAGAACACCATCGCAAAATCCTCATCTACATAGTCGGAGGTATCAAGCCCCTACCGCTCTTGAACTATAGATTGATAGATTGTACCTCATTTAAAAAGGATTTCGATTCGATATCCATTGCTGCTTCGGTTTGAAAATAATTTCACCCGTATAGAAGATGAAGAGCTTTGGAATGCCCACAATACGTTTTTTTTTTAGAAATACAAAAATCAAATGTTAATACCAGAAATATTGTCCGCTAATCTTCATATACGAATGAAGGTTTTTTTCTAACCGTTGTCGTACATTTTGGAGTAGTTTCGTTGTCACTTTGTGACATTCATTAATGATGCGTCCTCGCAGATCTTCCAGTGAGTCAGATGTTGTTCAAAATACTCAATTTTTTATGTGTTTCTCAGAGACTCAAGTCGAGTGACCAAAAAAGTCATTCAATTACACAACTTTGAACTTGTGATATACTGTTTGGAACCTTTGGTGTAGTAATTAATATTAATGTAGTTTCTTCCCAACACCAAATCGTTATTTTTAAACACGTGTTTCGATCACCACGTGATCATCTTTCTCTTGAAGAAAAGCTTTTGCAAGGCTAACCCTATTTAAACTATACAGGTACACCTTACAAATGTACCACACATACAGGTATACTACACCTTTGGTGTGGTATACTACACCAGTTTAATCTTCCTCTTGAAGATGATCACTTGGTGATCGAAACACGTGTCGAGGCGTTAAAAATTACGATTTGCTGTTGCCATCTAGTTTCGAGAAATTCTCTCACTAATTCACAAACATATTATCCAGAATGTCGTTGGTTGAATTGTTCGGCAACCTGGCATTGAAAATAGAAATCAATCATTTTCACCCATTCCAGCACTGAGTACTCTATAGTTGATAAATTCAAAAAGGTTTAAAAAAACTTAACCATATTTGACAAATATTATCGGAGTTTTTTCCCAACACCAAACCGTTATTTTAACACATCGACACGTGTTTCGATCACCAAGTGATCATCTTCAAGAGGAAGATCAAACTTGAAATATTCGTTCTAGAGGAAACAATAAATCAGATAATGAAATTTTTTATTAATTCTTGAATCAAAATCTGATGAGTGGACAATGGGAAGAAAAAAATTTTCTATAGTAAATGTTCAAAAACGTTTCGGCCAACTTCCATACAATGGTACAAACGAGTTTCCATTGCTGTCCTCACATAGTTGAGAATATCGGGAGTTATTTCTGAGCAATGCCTCATGATATTCTCCCTCAAATCTTCTAATGTTGTTGATTCTATCTCATACACTTTAGACTTCAAATGACCCATTAGAAAGAAATCTACAGGAGTGAGATCCAGAGACCTTGGTGGCCATTCTGTAGGACCTCTTCTGCCAATCCAGCGACCAGAAAAATGATCATCCAAAATGTGTCACATCGGAGCTGCATAATGAAGTGGTGCACCATCCTGCTGAAAAACTATTTCGTTTTCGAATAAATTTATATCCTCCTCAATTGCCTATTGATTCACGGTATTATTCGATTCTCCAACATATCCAAATATTCATCACTAGTCAAATTATCATCGATGAAAAAAGGTCCTGTGATGTGGTCACCTGAAATTCCTGCACAAACATTCAGTTTTTGAGGTCGTTAGGTATGTACTTGACGCTATAAATGAGGATTTGTATCACTCCAATATCGACAATTTTGCCGATTCCCCTCTCCATTCAAACTAAAAGTACATTCATCCGAAAAACAGATGTTATACAAGAAATTCTGATTCGTTCAGTGAGACTTTCACAAAACTCGATACGTCTACCGAAATCATCTTCGTTCAATTCATGAAATAGTCTAATCTGATATGGATGAAAGTTGTTCTTATGAAAAGGATCTTGAAAACATTTATACGACTGTTTTCTGATTCTCGAGATAACTTACTAAGAGATTGCGAATTTGCCATTAGTCCAACGTGCCCTTAAACTGCAGTACAAATAGCTTCATCGTTGACAACTCCTGAAGGGTTATGCTTTTTACCAGATCCAGTTTCCATAAATTCGTTCAATAATTTCAAAACGCATTTGTGTCGTACATTTCTTCCTGGATAATCTTCATTAAACATACGGGCAGCAGCTCTAGCACTATTTCCATTCTGGTAGTACAAACTCACTACTTCAATTCGTTCTCGAAGCGTATAAACCATTGTTGAGGTGTTTTTTTGAAGTCAAGAGATTAATTAGTGACTTTATCGTTGAAATTAATATTGGAATCATTTGTTAATATTATTTTGCATTTCCTAGGAAGATCGTTCAATATTGACTACAAATTGGTAATAAGAATAAGAGGGTCTGACAACGGTGACCTGTAAATACATAATATGTAAATATTGATTTTCTCACAGAAGCTAATGGAAAACATATCGAATAGGGAGACTGGGAATACCGGGAGACTAGCAACGTCGAATCATTATTCAACAAGAGTGTATTTAGAAGCCATAGAAATACATAAAAACCAAGAGAACTTCAACATTAAGGAAGAGAAAACATAACTACCTTAGATCTGGCACAAAACGAACAAATCGCGCAGGAGTACGTGCGAACCTGCCTTTACATAAAATGCGCGAAAAATCTATACTATAGATAATATGGCAGAAATGAGAGTTTCAGTTTCAGCTGATGCTTCGACCACGCCACTGAAGATGACTACCGCAGTTGTAACGTTTGGACATTGTAATCAAAGAAGACCACGGCAAAACCCAGAAACTAACCAAAACACAACAATACATTTTGTTTTTACAAGAGAAAGTCAATGTAACGAATACTTTTTGCCAGAACTACCAGCAAAATTCAATTACCTCTGAAGTAATAACAAATTAGACTGGTACTACTAAAATTTAAAAATAGATTATTCCAAAAATTAATCACTCCTAAAAATATATCCCTTTCAAATCAGATTATTCCAGTTATGACCACTTACCATTTACAACTTTCGCCGCTTTTTGAACTTGTATACTTCCTCTTTTAATTGTTGAAATTCCGGGAGCCATTTCCGAAAACACTTCAGTTCAAAACAAAAACGAACACAACGACACTGACTTTGTTGAATACAAACAACGGAGTGACATTCGAAGAGAACTTAAACGCTTAATTGAAGATTATTGTTATTTTCCTTGTATAGCCCACACAAGATAATTCCTTTTGATGCGATAACTTGTAATAGTATCCGTAATGATACAAATATACCACATTTTCCATAACTTTTTTTTTGTGATATGAATATTTGAAACAATTCATTCATGTTTTCAGTATGAACACGCCTGAAGAAGCTATTATTAGGCTGTTTCAAAAATTCTGTCCGTTTCTGTAGCTCCATATCTCAATAAATATATATTTTACTGTTTTGTGGTGTAGAGTGCTTTCCATTTAAAACGAGCCACTCTGAATAACTTTTGGAACAATGATTTTCAGGAAAAATAAAAAACAAGTCAACTCTAGTATACAGGGGGACACATTTTGACATATTCACATTTGATGTTACTTCCCCTATCGCACCCCCAAAGCATGTTTTTAAATGGATCACCCTATATTGTTTCGCATTATCAGATGCTCCTCTATGAGCAGATTTCAACAAAGTATAAAACATATAGTCAAAGCTTATGGTTCGGGAGCTACAAATTATTCGAGTTGAAAACGAGCCACCCTAAATAACTTTTGGAATAATGATTTTCAGGAAAATTTAAAAATTCACCTCAGCAATAGTATACAGGGGGGCACATTTTGATATATTCATATTAGATTTAACTTTCTCTGTTGCACCCCTAGAGCATGTCACTTCTTCTTGAAGATGATCACTTGATGATCGAAACACGTGTCGAGGTGTTAAAATAACAGTTTGGTGTTGAGAAAAATCTCCAGTATATTCATTACTTACGGAAGCGAAGAAGGGCCACATATTTTTATTATTTGTTTCTTGGAAATTACGACTTTTAATCTCGAAATTTCGACTTTTACTTCTAAATTTTGACATTAATCTCAAAATTACGACTTTTATCTCGAAATTTCAACTTTAATCTCTTAATTTCGAAAGTATGAGATTAAATTCGAAATTTCGAGTTTTAAGTCCAAATTTCGAGTTTAAAGTCGAAATTTCGAGATTAAAGTCGAAGTTTCGAGATTAAAGAGAAATTTCCAGTTTGAAGTCGAAATTTCGAGAAAAAAGTCGAAATTTTGAGATTAAAGTCGAAATTTCGAGATAAAAGTCTCTTAGTGTTAGTGAAATTATTCATGATGGAATCACTGCTAATTGACAACTCTAACTTTCATCGATATGACAACACTATCACTGTCAGCTGGTTTTCAAAGCAGGTGTTCATGATATGCAAATGGGCTTCAATTTTATTTTCGAAAACGAAGCTAGATATGAAGAAAACAAAAGCGACGAAAAAAATGTATTTTCAGTTAATTATTCTAAAAAATAAAAAACTACAACAACGAGTCAGTGGCATATTTTTTCCCAATATTGTTGGCTGTGGTGCCCACTGAGACGCCACTGGACCTAATAATTTCAATCTAGTTCGGCCTTAATATGCAGGTTTTCTTTAAACTTCAACGCCCTGTATCTCAGAAACGAAGCAACTCCGGACGTATGTTTATTAGAACTTGTTTTCTAAACGACCTAACGAATCACCTTCGTACCGTAATTAGGAAATACCCTGTATATCGAAAAAGAAGGGGTTGTGATCTTATATATATATATAAAATATAGTTATTGTGATTCTTTTATAATCAGAAGTGATTATTGAATAACAAAATTAGTTAGCTCCCTAACTATTTTACTAAAGGGGAATTGCTGGAAGGTAGGGGCACTATATCGTTTACTTGAACTAGACCCCCTCATAATTTCTTAGATACAAATATCTCAGCAGTAAGGTCTCACTAAAAAGGCCCATAACAAAAAAAATTCGCTTGATGAGAACATCTCGCCAAATGAAGTATACAAAAATTCTCTAGTTTTGGCATTTCATATATTTCCCAAACTCCTGCTCTTTCCTCAATGTATTTTGTATTGAAATTCTTTTGTGCGAGATGTTTGAGCCTTGAGATGTTTTTTACCGAGATATTTTTGGCTGAGATATCATTTTCGTGCATAATATTTCTAAAATAGAAAGGGTGGAGCATTTTTCATGATTATGAAAATAGATCCGGCTGCAGAAAGAATGAAACCGTATATTATAACACAGTTATGTTGAAACAACCCGAAATTCTGATATTTGCATTCAAAGACAAAATAATTGACAAATCACTTGCTCTATGTTCGGTGAGTATAAGTTTCTTCGTCTGAGAAATGCGAGTGGAATAGTTTAACCCCCAACTATGTGAACCTAGGTTATAAAGAGAAGTAGTTCACTTGAAGGCATTCAAAGTTACTCTCACTTTTCTTTGCATCGTGAAACGTTTCTGTAGTGTTTATAAGGAATCAAGTACGTGATATAAGTAGTAGTGCAGTTTCTCTAGACAGGATTGAAGACGTTGAACAATATGCGATTTTCAAAAGCAGTGAGTACTCTATTTTATTTTGTCCAGTTCGATGAATATGATGAATGAAGTTTCAAATAAACTCAGAAGATAAATAATTTCGTTTCAAACAGTAATCAAATTGTGGTTCCAAATTTAAAAAGCTTCAAAATAGAATATATTTAGTAAAATATATCGGATTCACCATTATTGAAGTATCAGTAGGCTGGAGACTTCACAGAAAGTTTAGTGTTGTGATTACATAATTCAGGAATACAAAAATACCTACAATTCATATACGAGGATGGTTCGAAAAGTTTCCGACCTAACAAAGATACAAGATATTTTTTCGGACTTTTTTTATTTCTCAACATAGTCTCCTTTCAACTCTCCACACTTCTTCCAAAGACGATTTCATCTCAGCAACCCGTCCAAATAGTACTTGGCGTTTTTCTCTGCAAAATAATCGTTCATGGAACGAAAATCTCTGTCCTCCGAAAGAAATTTTCAGATGAGGAAACGAAAAGAAGTCGCCTGGGGCTAGATCTGGTTGAGTAAGGTGAATGGTCAAGCTCCTGTGAAGCTGTAAATCAGAACTTTACAAAATCCACATTTCCATCACTAACATAAGCGGATGCATCCGTTCAATTGCAACAACAGCTATAGAAAAAGCAACTCTACTAGCTGGACAATTTGCGTCGCACTCCAAAGTCGATTTTTTGGCAAAGGCATCACCCACTAGTCCCACGCTGATCCACAATGCCGGAAATTACTTTTCGACAACGTCTAGTCAGGCGAATTTTGAAACAGCTGTGACGATATAACTGTGCTGACAACAGCACAGTTGTATCGTCAATCAATTTGGTTTCCAGGACATCGCTAGCAGATGCACATTTGAACTAGCAGCAGGAGGTTGCATATCTTAATGAGGATCTAAAAGTGACTTCTAATTGGGGTGAAAATAACCAAATTTAATTCAATGCCACAAAAATCTAGGCATCGGTTTTCTCCAAAGAGATAAATGTTTTCGAACTGGATATAATAATGTCAGGACAGACAATTTTCCGTTTTCTGCTTCGATACGTTTGTTAGAGGTTAGAATGGACACCAATATGTCTTGGCACAATCATAATAAGCTCCAAACAATTTGGATATCAGTCAAACAAAAATACTCATGATGCCATATTTTCTGGGAAAGAAAGTTTTTGGCTTTCTACCACTCCATCTTGATACAAAAAAAGAAGGATGAGGGAGTCTTCCAAAGAAAGAAAGGAAGTAACTCTATACATGGATGTGTAGATCATGCAAAGAAGTAACTTTCAGACACAAACTGAAAAAAAGTCTTCCTGAAACAGCCTTCTTTTTTGTATCAAGATGTAGTAGTAGAAAGCCAAAAACTTTCTTTCCCAAAAATTAATCACTCCTAAAAAATATAACCCCTTCAATTCGCCATATTTTCATTTTTATATAAAGTGTATAGTAACATTAATAGACGGGAGGTTACAGCAGCAGTCTTTTGCGATTTCTCTAAAGCATTTGACTGTGTTAATCAAGAGATTCTGCTCAGCAAATTTTATCTGTATGGTATTGAGGGTATTACTCATAAATGGTTTGCATCTTATCTATCGGGTAGAAGTCAAAGGATTAAATATACAACAGTATCTGATGTTTCTGAAATATTTAACCGAGTACCACAAGGCTCAGTACATTGACCTATATCAATGACTTGACTACCATTGATATAGAGGGTAAATTTACTTTATTCGTCGACGACACTACAATGTTATGGCGCAATACCAACACAAATGATTTATATAATGCCATTTGCTCTGATATTTCCAAACTTTCAGATTGGTGTAAGGTAAATTCATTAGCTTTCAATGTCTCAAAAACCAAAGTTTTATCCTTCGAATTCGAATGTGATTGAGAACACGTCATGCAACAAATTTCTTGGGTTATTAATTGATAATAAGTTGAATTTTGAGGACCACATACTATCTCTTAACAAAAAACTCTCATCTGGATATTACGCTGTGAAAATATCTTCTAACGAACTAGGACTAACTGTAGCTGAAACTGTCTATTATTCATTAGTAGAATCACATCTAAGATATGGGATCCCTTTCTGGTGGGTAAGTAATCAAATTCCTCGACTCGATTCGATTTTTATTCTGCAAAAAAGGTCATTAAGATTTCTCTGTAGAGCCAGGCGGCGAGATTCTTGTTGGCCTTTGTTTGTAGCAAACAAAATTTTATCACTGTATGCTCTATTCATTTTAGAAACAGTTTGTTTAGTGCATAAGCATAGAACAGAACTTCCCTCTATTGTCTCTCACACACACCACACGCCAGAGCCTAAATTCAAGTCTTCCCATACCTAACACTACTTTAATTAAAAATTCTATATTGTATAATGGTCTCAAGATGTATAATCATCTTCCTAACTACCTGAAATGCGTAGGAAACTTTACTGAATTTCGAAAATCTACAAAGGATTTTCTTATGGAGAGGCCCTATTATAGTTTGCAAGAATTTTATGACAATAACTTTTAATCATATTTTATACGCATTTGTTTTATATGACATGACATGACTTCAAATTTAATTTTATGACTCTCCAGCCAATCATAAAACTTGGTTTGTAAAAATTATCCAATAGGAACCGCCAATTCTTCAGTCCACGTGGACTAATTCGTAGCGGCATTATTCCTTTGTATTGTTTTTTTGGCCTTTGAGTTCGCCGATAGCTTTAAGATTACTATATCGGTTACTTCGACTATGTATAACAACTGCGCGTCCAAAATGGCTGAAACTTTGGTGAGTAACTGTCAACAGATGAACAACGAAATTCACTAGCTTTTATTTACGTTGCTATTTTCATGTTGAAGTCGCACACTTTTCAAACCATCCTCGTATATAATGACATCAAGAATTACAATTGTTGCTTGCAATTGACTATACGCCAAGAGAAATTTATTGTTATATCATTAAATTCGCATAAAGAAATTTTATGTTGTCGACGAAATTCATGCATCACATACTCGACAGCGAGCAAAAACCCATGGTAGACTTTTACTATTGAATGAATATGTGGAATTTATTCAAATCGGCAGTTGATCTAGTTTCGACACTCCGTTCATAATAATCGTAAACATTCTCTTCTCCCATCATTGTGTGGACTTTCATTTTTTATTTTCATTCACAATAATTTCCGACAGAAACAGTTTCTTACGGATTTATTTATTATATTGTAGCGTGAACTTAATAAATATGGTATCAAAAATTAATCGTGAACGAATATCGTCCCTCATTACAAATTTTTTGTGATCCTTGTGTTGTTTATATTGAGACTAGTTGTTGCCCGCGTGAAATTTGGTTTGACACATTTAGTTTCGTGATAGACCATTTTAAACAAATAGTTAGTTTCATCAACCCAAAACTTCACGTTTCCAGACGAAATTAAATACAATTTATGATCCCCTATTTTTCCTCCGGAAATTCCTGATTCTTTTTCTTGATGCTTATTTACACTATACAAAGAACCTACCTGCATATTTCGAAATTCTAGGTTCAATAGCTTCGGCTGTACGTTATTATAAGAGCTAGCAAGTTATATTTTTACTCAAAAAATACAGTAACTGAAAAAATATGTTACCTGCACTAAGTAATGAATAGCTTCGAGAATCGAGTTATGTTACCTATAAAGAAATTCGCAAAAGTAACAAAACCGTCTGCCCTCACGCGTCTGCCCGCGTTCAGGTCGCGTTCCCGGCGATGGCGCTTCATTGCTTGGACCGCTCCTCTACCCCTGCGCATCGTCCACCTTCGTCTCATAGTAGACGTGACGCATAATGGCTTACTGCGTCGCGTTAAGTCAATCTTATCCTGATAATATAACTTTTAAACGATTCGTCCAAATTACTTAGTGTAAAAGACAAAGTTTATTCTTTTAAAATACTTAAAACGACAATCAATTTTTATAAAATTTTTACAGATATTCTAAACTGTGCATTGTAAAAAAGTATCCAATTTAATTGTTCCTATATCATGTGTATGATCTTGAAGGATGAATAAAGATTATTATTATTATTATTATAATCAGCAGTACCAATTATCACATCAAGATGGTTCACATACAAAATGAATAGAATTGGACCCAAGATCGATCCCATTTCGATTTCCCTGCTATCCGAGCGTATGGTTTTAATTTGGCTATTATGTTGAAACTAGAGCGTTACTATTTGACTTTTAATAAGTCTGAAATCAGAATAAATCTTTTCACAAAAAAAATAATTTTGTTGTAAAAAGCGTGGGATACTTTAGATTATATTTTTATTATGGCTCCAATCTGGCAAAGAGCTCCCAACCAAGTATTTATAACAATGGATATTTAGACTTATTAAAAGTCATCAGGTACATCAAGACATAGGTCTTATTGATGTTGAACACTATCTTAAATTAGGTCCGGATTATTTTTTAGTTTATGTTGCTATTGGCGGGCCAAATCCGGCCCGCCAGTGTCATCAATCCGGCCCGCGACAGCCAATGATTTACCGTTATCAATCTGGCCCGCGACAGCCAATGATTACCTAATTGTTGTTACTATTGCTGTGATGAGTTGAAGAAGAAAACACAGAATGATAATTACTCGGTTTTATTTACTTGCAAGTTAAAACTTAACGACAGAAAGTATCTTAAGTATCTAAGTTTAAGCATACTCATAACTAACAAATAATTGAAATGAATCACAGTAAAACAAAAACATTAATGAAATTTATGTAATTGTGATTTTCCACCGACAATACTTTGTAGTTGTAGATCAATTTTACTTGTACCAATTATCAAAAGAGATTTAAGATGCTCATCGGTTAATTGAGATCTGTAAACATTCTTTGTGTACTTCATCTTGGAAAACGTTTTCTCACACAAGTAAGTAGTACCAAAAACAGAAAACAACCCACGAGCAAATTCATGCAAATTATCAAATTGTTCCAGTGGAAGACGCTTATGAAATTCCAACAAAGATGAATTTTGATATTTGT